TATATATATATATATAAGAAGAGAGCAACAGAGAGAGCTACAAAGAGAAAGCAACTGAGAGAGCGAGAGAGCAAGAGAAAAAGAGCGAGCGACGGAGAAAGAGAGAGCAAGTGACAGAGAAAGAGAGTGAGAGAGCAAGAGAGAGTGAGAGAGAGAGAGCGTGGGTGCGGCAGCCATCTTGGACTTTGATGTGGTAACCCAATTTTTGATAGTGAAATTTCTTATGCCTAGATGCAGCCACGCACAAAATAAAAGGTTGATGCCGGACTTATTTTTCTCATTATCCAGCTCACAACACAAATAAACGGAGCGTATTGAAGTTCCCTTTTTGTTTCACGACGAGGGACAAAAATTTTTTTTCTTTTTTTGTTGTTGTGTGATTTGAGTGGTTATAAAAGATCACCTAAGGTTCAGAGGTCACGGTCAGAGACCTTCCTCATGCTGCACATAGTTTAATATATATATATGTTTTATTTTGGTGTTTAACAAGATGATTGATCAAAGACACGTGATGTGAATAAAAGAAAATCATTGAACAAAATATAATTCAACTACATTTACAGTTGTGGGTTGAAATGGGGCTTTGAGGTAAAAACATGAGGCGAATTTTATTAGAGGCATGAAACAACAGCAGGAAAGACAACATGCTCAATATGTTAATAATTAAACCTTTTCTGTCCGTTTAAATGCATCACTTCTCTAACGAAGGTAAACAAATTCTAGTTTTCTTCAAAATCGAGAGCTAAATTACGAAACATGAAGTCAGGATGCATGTAAACAGGATCTGGGATAAAAGCATCGGGTCACGTTTCTTAAAACGGGAGCGGGACCTGCGTCGTTCAACACAAAGATAAAAGGAAAATGCGGCTACAAAAGCAAGTGGCGTCACGATGAGGTCACACATAAATTATCTACGGGTGGGGATACGTACTTTCAGCAGCTAGCAGTCCTACAGACAGCAGAGCAGAAAAACACCACAAAAAGACAGGATTAGATGAAGATGTAGAGATTAAAAGAGAGAGCAGAGAGGTTTCTGCGGCGCTGGTCGAGTCAATGACCCGCCACCGGGAAGCGGCGCCGCGACAGACTGCTCGCTCAGCAGAACACGGCCGACGCTTTTGAACATCGTCCGGTCGCAGCTGAGCTCTGCTGAAACGAGGCCTGTTTTCACAACGAACAACCAGAAGGTTTATCTTCACCGGAAGTGAAAGTCCTGGACTGAGACAGAGAAGTGATGGCTGTTGGGCAACATCTGTCTTCATCTGAAACAGGAAGCTGGACCCGAACAGCTGGACACCGGAAGCACTGATCTGTGTTCTGGACTTCCTGCGGGGAGTTGTACCTGAGGAGGTTGGGTCGTCTGAGAAGTCGTGGAGCTCCTCAGGAGGGTCGCCGTAGTAGGAGTTAAACTTGTGGCTGGAAACGGCAGCCAGGACTGCACCCTGAGAGACAGGAAACAGGAACACTTGAGACCCCCCCCACAGCTTTGATGCACGTAAACCCAAAAAGGAAACCGCTTTAAAAAAAAATAAAAAATCATAAATCAAATTGTGCGATTAGAAACAGCTGCAGTTTCGGCGCTAACCTTCAGCTTCCTCCTGGCGTTGAACTTCCTCAGCTGTTCCACCGTTTCGGGCAGGTGGATCTTGTAGGCGTACCTGTCCCTCTCCTGCAAGAGTCAGACGCACAAGTAAAGCTAAACACATCTGGGTGAACGGATGTGAAAGCGCAGCTGTGGCTTCAAACAGAAGGACGTGTGTTTGAGTCGGCAGCGCTGGGTTCTCGGCGACGTGTGCGAGCCGTCTCACCTTCAGCCAGGGGTGGTTGAGGGCCTCGTAGACGGTGATTCTCTCGGCGGGGTCCAGCATCAACATGCGCCTCACCAGGTCCTTGGCGCTCTCCGAGATGTGAGCCCATTGGCGTGGATTCATCTGCACAAGTGCACACGGGAGGCCGCGTTCATAAATACGTAAAGCTGCAAAAAGTGCACCGTTCTGCGTGTCCGAGGAGCTCCCACCTTGTATTTCCCCTTAATGATGGCCTCAAACAGACGCTCCTTGGTGCCGTAGAACGGTAGACAGCCAGAGAGGAGGATGAAGAGGATGACTCCGCACCCCCACACGTCCACCGGTTTACCGTACGGCTCTCTCTTCACCACCTCGGGAGCCATGAAGTGAGGAGTACCAACACGGCCTGGAACCAGCGCCGAAAAATACATTCAGTAATGAGCGAGAATGGACGAACCATCGCTTGTAGAAACATGACGCAACACTGAAAGTGAACAAGCGCCGGGTCATTTTAGTATGTAACCGGGTTTTTTTATTAGTTGATTTTTTGTGTGTGTGTACACCCCCACGATAGGTGAAAATCCAGGTCCATCCATCCATTATCTTTACCCGCTTTTTCGGGTCGCGGGGATCACTGGTGCCCATGTCCAGCAGTCACTGTGCAAGAGGCGGGGGACACCCTGGACAGGTCTCAAGTCCATCACAGAGACACATAGAGACAAACAAACATTCACTCTCTCACTCACACCTAGGGACAATTTAGAGTTGCCAGTATAACATGGGGAAGTTATATTTATTTTAGTATATATATATATATATATATATATATATATATATATATATATACACACTTTAGGGCTTTATAAACCTTTCCCACATTCTTGCAATGTTCGTAATGTTCTAAATTCTCAAATCGCTCTCAAAGAGCACAGTGAACGAGAGCAGACAGATTGATGCTACGTTTACTGAGCCAAACCTAGGAGTGGACTGGCCATCGGGAGCACCGGGACATTTCCCGGTGGCCTGGCCCGCTCAGCGATCACAGAGGGGAACTAAAGGCTCGGTGTGAGTCGCGTTTGATTATTTTAAATAAACAATCCATGCTGGATTCTGCAGCTCACGCAGGTATAAGACAGACCTCCCGCCGCCCCTCCTTTCTCTTTCCGAGGCTGTCAGCCTTAGAAATAGAAAGGAGAGGGCCCTGTGGCAATCACTGGGTGGGCCAGGCCACCGGGAAATGTCCCGGTGCTCTCGATGGCCAGTCCACGCCTCAGCACAATGCTCTGGTTGGTCGCCTTCCATCAATCAGCCAATCGTGTGTCGTGTACAATCTTACATTGAAAACCAGCGAAAGAGTGAGTCCGCAAAAGTCAAACCGCGAAGTATTGGTGGACTCCTGTATATATACATAAATTTGCAAATAGCTCAAAAACAAATAAATGTTCAACTTTTAGACTCTTTAAGCTGGTAGAAAAATAATTAGTGAAAATCTTACCTACGCGTTTTTAAATTGTTTTCATTTTTTAATTTTAGGTAAGTCATCCTGGTAAACGTACATAAATTCCTTAAGACGTATGAAAATACAGCCATACATATGGCATACTTTTATTCCTACAGTTCATATATGTCCTTCAGTCAATTCAGCCACAAATACATGTGTTCATGTACAAACCCATGTCCGTCCATCCATGCGTCTGTTATCTTTATTTTAATGTTGTCTCCATCTCCATCAAGTCTGTGGACCCTCAAACTCCTGATTAATCTGAACAGCTGTAGTCAGAGGAACATCAAGCTGCTTGGAGATGGTCTTTACCTTTATGTCAGTCATTGTCTTTCTAAGATCCTGAGACACTCCGCTTCCTGTTCAGTGTGTTACACACCATGACACCAAACAGCCCTGTGACTACCAGTCACCCTTTAAACAGGCAGACTGAAGACACCATAGTAATCCAAGTTACTAAAGCATTGAGTTTTGTATGTTTTTCATTCTTTAATGAAAGAGTACCAACATTTTTTTTTCTATTTGTGTTGAAATTGCGTAATTTGAATTTCCTAATTAATCCAGCTGTTTTAGTGCAATATTTGTGTCTGTGTGCGTTCGTACCTCCAGCTACTAAACCAGACTCTCCGAGCTGGATTGCAACTCCGAATCCTCCCAGCTTCACTGGAGCAGAGTTCTCTTTAGAGGCCAGAAGCACGCAGTGAGGCTGCAGAGAAATTAGAGAAGGAAAAATTAAGGCAAGTGCGGTCGGATTAAATTGGCGACCAAATAATCCCTTTTATCGTATCAACTAAAGCAGTTCAGAGTAAAAGCAACATTGTGTGATAACTCTGCAGTCTGTCTTTGCAGTCACTCGTGTGTTCAAAGGTTAGTTAGTGAAGCTCAAGTTTCACTATGAGAGGAACTCATGCAAACAAAACTACAACACTAATAAGATGCTTCAACACAGAAAACCAGCATTCCTTTAGAATTTAGTCTGCAGATTCATCCGAAACACAAATGAGGTCCAGACCGTCCTAACTTTATCGGCCGATGTTCAGATTCAGCGTGAGCTGGACGGTGCCACAAGGAAAGAGCGCATTTACAGAGAGATACTGGAGATGATGGTGCAGTATAGCTACACCTGGACTTAAAACCGGTGCTAACGAAACTGAAGTCTGATTAAAGGGTGATTAAGGACCACATTGGGCAGAGTGGCTCGATCACAACGAACTATTACAATATCTCCAATAAGCGGGGAAACAAGTCACAGCGGCAAATCAACACCTGAGAAGAACAGACAAGAAGAACCGGTACACCTCAGGGCTGTGTACTCAGTCCACTCTTGTATTCTCTATTCAGTCATGACCAGGCACAGCTCAAACATCATCAACGACGACGAGAGTGCCTACAGAGATGAGGTGAAATCACTGACCAGCTGGTGTCAGGAAAATAACCTCATTTGAACTTGTGTTATTCTGCATATGTCAAACAACACAAGACGAGTGGAGTCGCACTTATCGCTAACAAAGTGGCTTTATATCGTAAAGATTTAGAGATGTTTCAAGTGCAATGTCCTGTTTTCCTTGGAGGAAAATACTTATTCCTCTCAACTACATTTGAATCAACGTGTAGCTTTTATGTACAGTAGTCCCTCATTTATCGCGGGGGATCCGATCCGTACCCTGAAGTCCCGCGCCAAGTGAAAAATAGCGATAGAGCGAGTCCGCAAAAAACGAACCGCGAAGTAGCGAGGGACTACTGTAATGTTCTTTTTTGTTCTTCTGGATTTTAAGTAAAAATAAAAATCAATACAATAAAATTATTTGAACAACAGAGGAATCAAATATTCAACTAGCCTTATTTGGCTGCTTGTTCGTAAGGCTCCGTCAACGCAAGCCAACAACAAAATAAGAGAAATCAGCGAGGACATTTAAAAGGGACTGAGGTAGCGCGGATGTCTGGTTGTAATCCTGAAGCTGCAGTTTGAGCCCAGTTTAATTAAAACGGTCGACAGATCTTTCAGTTGAGCTTGCCCAACTTTAAACATCGTTCTATGGGTTGAGTCCGAGCACGACGTATTGTCAGTTTTAATTTGGCGTCGTTCGAAAACCAGGTTAGAATTTACTGCATATCGTGATTTTCCTCGTTTGTCGTCAACGTTCACTCTTTTTGGACCTGCGGTAACCACAGCAAACTTTTGATTCACCACTCCCTTTTATTCAATCACCTAAAAGAATAACACGGCCTGAATGTGTTGTGCTCAGTTCCCTTGCAAAGTGATGCTTCTGGTGACAAAGCGGCGGTGGGTTTTACTTCCTGCCTGCGTGCTTCAAGTAACTGAGGGGTGTGGATGAAGCCGACTAGATAAGAGGCTCAGCAAGAGAGAGAGACGGGACGGACCCGAGCTGAAGGAACAAAACAAGTCAGGATATGAAAAAGACGTGCGCACCAGATACTTGACTCGTTCAGAAACTGCAGAGGACGGTGAAGACGGCAAACATCTTTCTTTGGAGTGGTTCTTGTTCTTTTAAAGACACTGGTGTGTGGGAGAAACCACCGGACCACCGTGCCGTTTGTGCACGTTCTGGTGCATTTATTCAACTGGGCCGAGCGTCCTGCATAAGGAATATTGACGGTGAGTCTGTCGGTGCTTAAAACAAACAAACTTTTAGGCTTTTTGGAGTTGTTTTTATTGCCAAAACAGTGAATTTATTACTTTGTAATTCTAATTATTAGACCTATTAATGATCCTCAATTAGATTATTTTGTTTTAGCATCGACTTTGCTGCAAATGTGAGAACACCTACGACAAAAAGAAGTGTCATTTTCTTTAAATAGAACAGTTTCAGCTTTTGAGGAAATCTTGCGTGTAGAAAGAAACTTCCTGTGACCTCAAAATAAAAAATTTGACTAAATTATTTTAAAAGAAGTACTTTTTTTGGCTAAATAGAGTATTTCTGTTGATGAAAACACAATGAATGATCTGCGTTCCTCATTTCAGCTTCTGCAAGTCAGCATTATGCCAAACTATTATACAGCAATGGCTCAAACATGCAGAGACCTTTGACCTTGATTTGTGACCTTAACCTCTCAGATGGGGTGATGCAAGGATTACGTGAAAAGCTGTCTAGCCGGGGTACAAATGCCTCACGTTACTTAAAATATCTTGGGTGCATCAGAAATTATGGACGGGACATGCCCGTTTTTTAACGGCGTATAAAAATGGACATTTCGGTAATTTTTACCGTTTCCATTTGGGGTGAACAGAATTCACATTAATCCCCGACCGACCGTTGTTGGAAGCTCCGACTAAACGAACCCAATAAATACGATGTGAATTTATGTCATTAAAACATCTCCGGTGCTTACACAAATGAAATTAGGTCGACCGACTAAAACACCTACCGAAATGGTGCTGTCCCTTTTTAATGTCATTAAATTACTCCACCCTCTTAACAAAAAGCACTAGACGAGGTGTTAAATGTCTGAACTTTAGATCTACAAGCAACGTATTACTCACCAGGCTGTGCATCGCTCATGCAATCCACCACAGCCGTGTATTATGCAACTTTCAGCTGACTGTGCATTCTTGGTTTTTCTCCGCAGAGCATTTCGTCAAACCTCAGGCACAATGACCACGCACCACCTCGCAGCTCTTCTCACAACCACCTCAACATCTGCGCTTTCAGAAGCTCCCCCGACTAGTTTGGTGTCAACCACTTCTGTTTCTACGGCGAACACTTCTCTGTTGTGTTCAACCTCCGGCGCGCCGAAGTGTTCGCCGGATAGTGAATCCATTCGTCTGCCGCTGGCTGTTTTTTACTCGCTGTTCTTCGTTTTTGGGCTGGTGGGTAACCTGTTCGCTCTGTGGGTCTTCCTTTTCCTGCACTCGCGTCGCAACTCGGTGCGGGTGTTCCTAATCAACTGCGCCATAGCCGACCTGGTCCTGCTGGCGTGCCTACCCTTCAGGGTGTTCTACCACGTCAACGGAGATAAGTGGGAGCTGGGATTTGTGGCCTGCAAGTTTGTGGGGACCGTCTTCTACATGAACATGTACATGAGCATAGTGCTACTGGGACTCATCAGTCTGGATCGGTACTTGAGGCTGAGCGGGAAAAGCCGATCGCGAAGCGGTTCGCGCCTGAGGATGTTTGGACGCAAGCGGCCATGGAGCTGGGCGACGTGTGGCGTTCTGTGGCTTGTGTTCATAACGCTGATGCTGGTCTTCATCTCGACGCCGGAGGATAAAAACTTCGATGGTAAATGTTTCCAGTTCAAGCAAAGAGCCGTCAACAAATGGAAGGCGTACTTCAACCTCACGGTGGTGTTGATGTTCTGGCTCATCTTCGTCGTGCTCGTCGTCTCCTACGCAAAGATCGCTTCCCAGCTGCTTCAGGTGTCCCGGAACAAGCCGGACTTCCCCAACGCGAACAAATACAAGCAAACCGCCAAGAAGTCCTTCTTCGTCCTCTTCCTCTTCACCATTTGCTTCGTGCCCTACCACACCTTCCGCCCGTTCTACATCCTCACCCAACTCAATCTCTTCAATTCCTGCGACCAGTTGCAAACGGTGAGCGACACCAACGAGATCGTTCTTTTGTTCTCGGTTTTTAACAGCTGCCTGGATCCGATCATGTACTTCCTGCTGTCTGGATCGGTGCGCAAAACGGCTCAGCGCTTCATCGGACAGCGTTTGGGCCAGCGCCTTCCTGCCTTTAACGAGGCGACGTGGAACAGCTCTACGATGGATTACAGACGACCATCTGTGCTGTTACCCGACCAGGTCCTGAACAACCCTTCACTTGCACCGAGAACCAGCTTCTGCGTTGACTCAAACCACCGCTACGCAGAAACTATACTGCCATCTGCTGGCCAACGGTGAAGTTCATCAAGACTGAATGTCAACAAAACCAAAAAAAAACTGACTGTTTATCGAATCTAAGACGTCTACCTTGACTTGTTGAACATCCGTGCCTGATGGTAGCCGTTTAAACCAACGTCAACATTAAAGACGACGTTTAATCCGGAACTTAACATGAAAGCAGCTTTTTCCAAAATATACATTTGTCACAAAAGAGTAAATGTGTATTTTTATAAACAGTCCCACACCTTTTTATTCACGTTTTATGAATGTAATCGTGTTGTTATTGAGGAAAATAGAAGAAAAATATGAAAACAAGTGTTTGGGTTAATCAAAGCTTGCCATGAACTAGCCAAATGTCTAAATTGTTTAGAGCGCAGTAAAATGTGCACCAAACCAAACTGAGCTAAATTTTTGGTCACTCCGTACTAAAATAGCTCATAAGGATTAAGAACCTGGATTAAAGTGTTCAGGTAGAGTTCTTCAGTTTGGCTAAATCTGGCTAATCTGGCTGTCAGAACTCAAAATAAAACCATTGATCATCGGCATAAAGGTTGATAACAGAAACTTGGCAAGAGTTTGGGACGGTTGGACCAAAAACAAGTTTCCTGGTGGACGATTTTTCCCCTGAAAAGAAAACGGTTGCGTCACGGAGAAAAGGTCCCACCGTGAAAGGATCGCATATCGTTTGGGTCTTTTTGACTGTTAGCATAATATCTCATGAACCAGTGTTCAAAGTTTAACAGAGAAAAAAATATTAAAAGCACAACTGATTAATTTTAGAGTCAAAACTTCTGACTCAAAATGACCACTACAGCTAACCAACAGTAGCAAGTAATAAAAAGGAACCGTACGGTCCCGCAAAGAACATCGTAACCCTGTTTACAGTAAATGAATCTCACCTTTACGTCGCGATGAATCACGTTGTTGTCGTGGCAGTACCTAAGTGCCTCCAGAATCTGCCTCATATAGTGACTAGAAGGACAGATTACCAGATTATTTCAGGGCGTGTTCACGTCGTCCATCTTGAATTTTATTATTTCATGACTGGTGTATCCTACCTGGCCACAGCTTCGCTGTAAACGAACCCCGCGTCCGCTCTCTTAACGATTTCGAAACACAGGTCAGCTCCATCCATACTGAGAGAGAAAGGAGAAAAAAATAATCTGGGATTATGCAATTTAAAATCAGGTTTGCACAGATTAAAGTTTACATAGAAACATGCTTTATTCGACCAATTTACCACTTAGTCTAGCATTACATCCATCAAAGAACGGTTTTATGGCATGCTTATTTAGGTAGGGTTCTATAATCCTGCAGAAGTTTCTGGGAAGTACAGATTTAGAAGGTACTAAATAAATAAGTAAATGTTTCTTAGTGTCTTTCATATTTGATTAAAAAAAAACATAACAGATTAAAATAATTATAATAATTGCAACTTAAACTGAGACAATAGTAATTATTTATGGCACGTTTAAGGTTCTATAAAACCTCAGAAATTTCTGCAAAATACAGATTTAGAAAGTCCAAAAAATATATATATATTTTTTCATATTTGTCTTTCATATTTGATAAAAAACAAAACTTATATATATAAACTGTGACACTGGTGTTTATTTGTAGCACATTTAAGGTTCTATAATCCTTCAGAAGTTTCAGGAAAATGAAGATTTAGAAGGTACAAAAATAAATAAATATGTAAATAATGTTTCTTAGTGTCTTTCATATTTGATAAAAAAAAATAACAGATTAAAATAATTATAATAATTGCAGCTTAAACTGAGACATTAGTACTCATTTATGGCATGTTTTAGTTTCTATAATCCCTCAGTCGTCTCTGGAACATACAGATTTAGAAGGGCCAAATAAATAAAACAAAAAAAAGATTGTTCTTATTTGTGTCCTTCACATTTAATAAAAACTAAAAACTTATTTTTATTATAAATAACTGTTGCTTAAACTGAGACAATGCACTGGTATTTATTTCTGGCATGTTTTAGTTTCTATAACCACTGAAATGTTTCTGGAAAATAGATTTAGAAAGTCCACGAATAAATAAATAAAGTGATGCAATGTCTTTCACAGCTGATTAAAAAAAAAAAAAAGTTTTATTTTTTGTTAAATAATTGCAGCTGAAACTGAGACACTAGTATTTTTTACTGCACTTTTAAGGTTCTATAGACTCGCAGAAGTTTTTTGATAATACATTTAAAAGAGACAAAAATAAATAAATGTTTCTTACTGTCTTTCACATTTAATAAATATAACAGATTTTTTTTTTTTTTTTTTTTAGAGCTGCTTAAACTGAGACGCTGGTGTTTATTTATGGCACGTTTACGGTACTATAATCACTCAAATTTTTCTGGAAAATACAGATTTAGAAAGTCCGTAAATAAATACATACAAGTTTTGTAATGTTTTTCACATCCGATTTAAAAAAATGAAATAAAATAAAATAAAAATATTCATTTTTTATAATAATTGCAGCTGAAACTGAGACACTGGTATTTTTTTATGGCACTTTTAAGGTTCTATAATCCCACAGAAGTTTTTGGAAAATACAGATTTAAAAGATACAAAAATAAATAAATGTTCCTTACAGACTTTCACATTTGATAAAAATAACAGATTTTAAAAAAATTTTTTTAGAACAATTGCTGCTTAAACTGAGACACTGACGTTTATTTATGGCACGTTTACGGTTCTATAATCACTCAAATGTTTCTGGAAAATACAGATTAAGAAAGTCCATAAATAAATAAATAAATACATAAAAGCTTCTTAGTGTCTTTCACGTCAGATTAATTTATATAATAATTGCAGCTGAAACTGAGACGCTGGTATTTTTTATGGCACTTTTAAGGTTCTATATACCCGCTGAAGTTTTTGGAAAATACAGATTTAAAAAATACAAAAATAAATAAATGTTCCTTACAGTCTTTCACATTTTATAAAAATAACAGAAAAAAAAATAATTGTTGCTTAAACTGAGACACTGGTGTTTATTATTTATGGCACGTTTAAGGTTCTATAATCCCTCAAAGGTGTCTGGAATATACAGATTTAGAAGGTCCAAACAAACAAAAAACTTATTTTTTCTTATTTGTGTCCTTCACATTTAATAAAAACTTATTTTATTTTAAATAATTGTTGCTTAAACTGAGACACTGGTATTTATTTATGGCACGTTTAAGGTTCTACAGAGAGGTTTCTGGAAAATGTATATTTAGGAAGTCCAAAAATAAATAAATAACTTCTTAGTGTCTTTCACGTGTTAAAAAAACCAAAGCTTTATAAATGTTCTAATGCACGTTTCTTTACATCACGTTAATTTATTTCAAATCACATTTTATCAATTTTCTATTTGAAAAACATTAAGTAGAGAAATGTCATTTCCTGCTGAAAAGGTTTCATCTCTCAACTGTTACTGTGAGCTGAATTTGATGAAAGCAGGAAAATAAAAGCTGAAACGAGAATGAGCTGAATAAGCAATTGCAAAAAAAAAAAAAAACACTTAAAAATGAGCAGAAAGAGGCTGAACTGGTTCAAAATAATAAAATATATAATAAAAATAAATACTGAATATTAGCAATGGGAAAAAAGGCTAAAATTAGCTGAAAAGTATCAAAAAAAGCTGAACTTAGCAGCAAAAGAAGCTAAAAAGAAGCAGGAATGTAAAAAAAAAAACATTTGAAAAAAGCTGAACCAGAACCAAAGCTGTCTGGAACGAGCAACAAAAGACTTTAAAGGGTTTGAAGTAAAACATGGCCGACGATGCTAAACGTTTCTAAAAGTTAAAATTGCACAAATGCAGGAACGTCCCAGCAGGAACGAGCCGAACCTTTTGACACATGAACTGTTGGAACTAAACAGAAACGAGGTCGCTGCCGAGCTCGTCTCAAAGGGTGAACCTTCTTCGTCTTTGTCCGAGCGGCGGTTTTACTCACAATTCAAAGACCATGTAGAGCATGCCGTCGGAGCTGTAGGTCTCCAGCAGCTCCACGATGTGGGGGTGTTTGAGCATGTGGCAGATGCTGGCCTCCCGCTTCAGATCTGGAGGGTTCAGAGGCTTCGTTAAGTGTTTCACTCAGATAAACGCAGGCGTTCCATTTTTAGCTTCATTAAAACAAGTCCGTGCGACAGCACAGAGCAAGCAACGACACTTACAGCTTCTACAATCATCTCGTGCAGTCATTAAATAAAAATCAGGCCTGCCGTACGCCCGCTTCACCAGCAGAGGGAGACAAAGAGCACGTCTTTAAAAGTTGGGACTAAAACGAAACAAATTGGACTGCAGCTCCTTTAAATTCTATTTTTTTTTGTTTTTAAATTTGACTTGTGGATGGAAAAAAGATCTCTGCGACCAAATACCGTCAAACACCTTGGACACAGGAAGAACATATGAAATACATGCTGACTTTATAAACACGAATGTTCCCAGAATTTCATGAAAACTAGTTTTCTTGGTCTAACCAGTTTGAGTCGGGTCCTCTGGACGGATTCTTGTTGAAACACTTCTTCAGTCGTACGTTTCAACAAATAATCCGTCCCGACTCAACCTCGTTAGATTCATCGACCTGGATTATTGAGCAGCATCAAGTTTTCTTGGGTCCTCCTGGACATTTCAATGACATGAAACGCTCAGAGCCTTCAGAGTCCGAGGTGGTGAGCAGAGTCGTCCCTCGCTACTTCGCGGTTCGACCTTCGTGGACTCGCTCTTTTGTGGTTTTTCAAAGATTGTACACGACTCATGATGGTCATCTTTATTGTTACTCACGTAATTAGGACAGTACGGGATACTGTACAGTAAAAAGTTATCGAAAAAATAAACTTCGGACAGGAGCCGCCATTTTGTAGTTTTCTCTCAATAAGCCTATACTGTATCCCCGCTCATGAGGACTACATTTCCCAGAAGCTCCAATGCCTTCTAGAGGGAAAGTTTTGATCTGATCGGAAAAAGTTCAATGCTCATTAGTGACTTTGGCGCCCAGCGGATGCAGAGAGCCACACGGAACCCACCAGGAACCGGACCTCCAGACCCATCGGCGAATCAGAGAGCTGCTAGCCAGCTAATGTGGACCTCCGAGTGGGGACGCACCGCCAAAGGTATGGCGCTCTCTCCGGAGCCCACCTGGACTTCTTTCATCCAGACTTGAACTCAATCAAACCACCGTCCGATCCCGTGAGGCCACCTGAAGGTCTGGTCCCTCCCTAAATGCGCTTTGGTGCTCCAGGGCTGCACAGAACCCGACCAGAACTGGCAGAGTAGGTCCGTCGAAACGCAACCGAGTCAGACCAGAACCGAGCCGCTGCTGTTCTGCAGATCCGGTGAGTAAAATTTAGTAGCTACAGTACATATACAGTACTGTACGTATGTTGTTAAAATGACGTAGGTTTGAGTTTAGAACGTTGCAAGAGTGTGAGAAGAGTTTTTAAAGCCTTAAAATATAAATACAAGAATTAAAAAACCGTCGCTACTTTGCAAATTTTCAGGAACGTAGCCTCCGCAATAAACGAGTTACTACTGTACCATAGCCCACTCTACGTGCAGACGACAAGTCGTCCCTAATAACTCGTTTTTTTACGCTGGTGAAGATTCTCAGTCATCCAGGACATGGTAAACCCAAAAACGTTCAAGACAAAAACAGCTGGACTTTATTTGTAACAGAAGACGTTTCGCTTCTCAATTCAAATGTCAACTTTCAGAGACTTATAATGCCGCTTTAGGACTGATACCCAGCCACTTTTCATGCATCAGATGGGACCAGAGGGGCCTCTTTTGTGAATTAGATTAACAAACTCCTACTGCGAGGTGTGATAGGTCAATCTGCATATGTATATGTATCTTACCTCAGCTTCATAACCTGAACCCCACACTTCTCTGCTCTTTGAATTGAAAAAGCTTCTCGGAAAAGAAGCGAAACGTCTTGTTACAAAGTCCAGTTGTTTTTGTCTTGAACGTTTTTGAACTCGTTATTTTGTTAACTGTGCATACGATGTGCACCGTAGAAACAGAACATGGACTGATACCAGAACACGAGCATTAATTCATGAACACGTTAGATCCTCTTTGGAGCGGCGGCTCGGAGTTCGAACTCCTGAAGTTCTCCGTGACTTTTGAGGTTTTTCCGACTTCCAGAGTTCCAGTTGCCATGTTGAGCGTGAACACTCGTTATATGTCGGACTCACCGCAGTCCAAGCAGACCGACATGGCAGCGCAATACGTTCAAGATAAATGGAAATCAAAAACAGGCGGTCATTCGTTTCTTTGAATTCAAGAAGGTTTTGATCAGGATGACGTAAACAGACGTCAATGTTCAAAACAGATGGTTTTGTTGAGCTCGGCGGCCTCCTGTTGGCTCCTTTGCTCCAAACGGAGGACGAGGCCTCAGATGTCAACTTTCAAGAACTTTTAATGCAGCTTTAGGACTGATACCCAGCCAGTTTTCATGCATCAGATGGGACCAGAGGGGCCACATCTGTGAATTAGATTAACAAAGACCTTAACAAACCCCTACTGTGAGGTGTGATAGGTCACTCTGCATATGTATGTGTGTATCTTATCTCAGCTTTATAACCTGAATCTCTCACTCTCTGCTCTTTGAATTGAGAAAGCTTCTCGGATGAGAAGCGAAACGTCTTCTGTTACAAATGAAGTCCAGTTTTTGTCTTGAACTTTTTTTGAATTTACCATGTCCTGGATGACTGAGAATCTTCACCAGCGTTCTCCATTGCTCCGTCACAGTCTGAAAGTCTGCTGCTCTTTGGGTCGTGACGGACCGGTACCCTTACACAACAGGGAGAAACAACGCTGTGCCCCCCTTTGCAACAGAGCCCCCATTCTCCTGCCCCAATGCTTCCATTATTTGCCTTTCAGCCCATCCTTCCCGTCCCATTAACCGTTCTCGAAGGCAACACTCTGAACCTCACCTCACCCAGACTTTTATTTTAACGCCCCTTTACATTTTAAACCTTCTGCATCCCAACCTTCCTACACTTGGACCTCCGTTAGTCCAACGTTTACATTTGAAGGTTTTCTGTGAATCTCTGCTTTCCTTCTCGGTCTCCTTTTTGCTCACATTTATGCCGACGTGGGTCGTTTCTAAATGAGCCGAAGGTCCGTGCTCTCAGGAAACCACGCCGTAACCCACTTCATATCGCCGCGGTGGTTGAGTGGCTCGTAAAACTGTCAGGAGCTGGGGTGGAAGAGTGCGTTTAAACGTGTACGCTTCTCTTTTACGCCATCTCGTGTCCAGGTTAGCGTTAATTTGAAACAGAAGAACTTCAATAGTGAAAAACACGGATCGTCTCTTTTTAGTGGCAGAGTTGGATGTTTTCATCTTTATATTGACAAGACCAGTAACATACGACCCGTGGGCCTGAAGTGGCCCTTGGACAATCTCTGTCCAGCCCCGAAAAATCTTACTTGGAAGGAAATACGTCAAAAACCTTCAATTAAAAGAGGCAAAATATTGTTTCAAGTTGGTCCATTTGCAAAACTAGACCAAAACTTAAAAACTAGAGAAACCAAACTTTTGCAAATTTAGGCTAATCAAGAGCCAATGTACAAAAAGTTTGACTTATATTGGTCAAGAGTACTGCGGAGACGTTTTTATCAGGCATGCTGGCTATGCTGCGGCAAAGAAAGGCTTTAAAAGTCTTACAGATTATTGGTTTAAAGAAAAGTTTACAATTTTTAAACATCTCGATGTGGCCGCACATTCACAGCCGCAGGTCTCGTGAATACTCAAGTTTCTGTGGTTTGGGACTTCCCAAAAAAAAAAAAAAGGTCCAAGAAAAGAATAATGTTAGAACAGTTAAACAGTCATTTCTATACTAGAGTTGCATTTTGGGCCCAAAAAATCCGACCCAACCCGGTCCCGGCCCGTAGCCATCATTTTCGAAACCCACCCGACCCGACAAATTAACAGTAATTACAGGTACGAACCTGAAAAAAACCCGACATTTTTAATTAAGCTTTGACTGCTTATATAGTTATTAACGGTCGGCGGACGTGCACGGCTGAGAAGAGGGGACAGGAGATCGGAGCTGAGGGGGTGTTTGTTCTTTCATGGCCATCAAAGCGCATAAAATCCCTGCTTCTTCTGCATTATTCAGACATGGACCCTGCTCTGACATGTCTGCTTTCGGATCTCGCCTGTTTGGGTCGTCGGACGGACGCGTCCGCTGAGTGCAGCGGCTGAATGAACGTCCATTTGGGCTGATGGATCGCTTCCTGGCAGTATAGTCCCATCTGAACTTTATTTGACACGTTTCAAGGCCGGTCAGCTCACGGTGAAACGGCTGCGTACGGATGGTGAATGAATGTCAAGACACGTTGACATACAATTGGATTGTATGGCAAGCCATGTTGCCATATAATCGCCAGTTGCACGCGTCCGCTGACGCAATCAAAAGCCCAACACCGACCATCCAGTACATTATTACGGCCAGGCTTCAGGCCCAGGTTAGAAATGACAGCACTACACTGTACCGGTCTTTATAGCCTCAGGCCGGCATCAAACTCAAGAACTTCTGAACTGGACCCAGTAGAGGCCCAGTACTTATACAGTTTTTGGTTTTGGTCCAAGTCTGCCCTAAGGGTCACTGAAAACTACGAAAGGGAACAAAAGGAACGAGTTCTGGTTCTGTAAACGTTTAAACAAATATTTAAGCTCTCAAACCTTATAGCACTAGTTGTTTGTTGTTGTTGTTGTTGTTGTTTGTTGTTGTGACTGAGAGTTTTATGTGCGCTTTAATGTCTAAACTACAAATGTACGATATTTTATAAACCAGTTCGAGATGTGGTTTAAAGAAGAAGTGGGGGGGGGGGGGGGGACTACGATTATACAAGCGGGGTGCCCCGCCCCGTCAACAGAACTGAGCGCCACGCCTACCGAACTGAACTGCGCGCACCACCCATACACGCCTGTCAGCACCGACGTAGCGCTAAGCTAGCGGCACGCAATACAGGCATGCGAGGTAAAAAGTTTAAGGCAGCGCTCACTCTGCCTCTTCCCTCACGCTGAAACCCCCCCCCCCCCCATTCGAAAACTGACGGTACAAATAGCGCAGCAGCTCAGACGTGTGTTTGTGTCTCCCCCCACCCAAAAATAAATCACGAACAAGACGAGCCCTCACCATGGCAAGTTATCAAGAGGAAACACTGCCTACCATTATACAACCAGGGCAGACAACTGACGTAGAGCCAACTGTGCGAAATACAGGTGAGCTAGCTAAAAAGCTAGAGGTACCACTCTGCTTCTCACACGCTGAGCCGTCCCCCCCCCACCACCACCGAACTGTCGGTACAAACAGCGCGCAACACAGACGTAGCTTTGTTTACGCCACCCCTGCCCCCCCCAAAAAAAAAAAATCACAGATAATATGAGTGCGCTGCCAAGGAAAGTAATCTAAAGTAAAAAGTGTGAAGCAACCTTATCTACCACCAGGAGTGGAGCCAGGGGGTGGCCAATGGTGGCCTTGGCCACCATAAATTAATCTTCAGCCACCCCAATCACTTGAGGAAACTGTACATTCTGGTTTTTATATTGCTTCAATTACATATATGCTACATACATACATATATATATATATATATATATATATATATATATATATATATGTATATGTATGTATGGAGGCGGCCATCTGTTCTTGCGCCTAGAAGCAGCCACGCATCAAACAGGAAGTTAAGCCATAAATTATCTGTCTCACAAGCTGCTTCTCCGTTCAGTACCGCTGTAGTCGCCTCGTTTCAGCTCAGTTCTTCTCAGGTGTAGGCGAGTCTCCACTGTAACTGTGGGCGGGATCGTCACGGCTCGTTTTCTTCTGCTCGACGAATCGACGGCTGCCGACGCCAAAATTAGAGCGGCACGCTTAAGAGCCACGGATTCCGACGGGCAACGCAGTTTCACAAGGAACGTTTCTTATCTTTGGACCATCTCAATCCTCGTATTCGGGACGTTTTTCATTCGTCTGCTTGTCTTTTTATCGTTCCTGCCCACTATTATTCAGTGTTTCCATCTAGTTACTATTTCAAAGATTATTTTCTTTAAAATTGGGTTTATTTCTATTTGAAGCGTCCCCTCAGCCTGGAGGTCAAAGAGAAGAGCCCTGAGCTTGTGTCACACCAGGCCCTGGATTTTATTTCTCATCACCACCTCCAGTCGGCAGAAAACGCTCCCAAGAGATTTGTGTCAAGGACCTGCGGGACGCCAACGCAGCCGGCTACTTTAAAGCTTCCAAAAACAGCCAGGATACCGCTCGCATCATAAGGAGCAAGCGGCACCGAACTCCATAGATTCTGGAGGAACAGAGGGGTTTTTTTCCATTCCCCCTCCCTCGGGTCACTTCCTCGTCTTGCTGTTCCTGGCTGCCGGTCTAATCTCAGGCTGGGGCGTCGCAGATGGTGCACGGTGACTGCCAACTGCAAACACCTATCGTCTTCGCCTTTTTGACAAACGTGCTCGGTTCTCAGCGTGACCAGTACCTCCCAGAAATAAACCGTCGGTTTGAGAGGGCACCAGAACCTCGGGGGGAGGGGCTCACCTTCCGTGCTGAGGCCGGGGCTGGAGGTGAAGCTGGCGACGTCCACGATCTTCACGGCGAACTGCTGGCCCGTGTCTCTGTTGATGCACCGCCTCACCACGCTGAAGGGACCCCTGGAAGGAACACACGCAACAAGCCGGTTAAAAACGGACGGCGTGAAACAGAAACAGGAGTTCCTGCGCGTACTGTCAGTGGGTGGTTGGCCACGCTCCGAGGCCTCCGTGTGGGAATTACAGAGCGGTGCGGTGCAGAGCAGCTGCAGGACTCTAAAATAAAAGCTTTATTACAGAGACCCACCCTGCACGCTTTATTTCAAGAAGCTCCACCGTCGTGACGTATAAAATAAAAAAACTTTCTTCCCGGCCTGTTAACCATCTGGAAACTGAAATTAACAACAACAAAAAAAAGTTTTTTGTTTATAGCAGAGAAAAGCTCCAGTTAACAAACAGCCCTGACGTTAGAAACTACATCAACAATAAACTCTGCACGTCCTATTAAAAAGTGAATGTAGCTAAAGAACTTGCTGAAATGGAAGAACAAGCCTAACTTAGCAGGAAAGAACACATTTTTGCTGAATTTGGTTCAAATGAGCAGAAATTGGGACGAAAAAAAGGCTGAATTTAGCAAAAAGTAGCGGAAAGTAGCTTAAACAACCAAAAGGAAATGGAAGGAGCTGAAATGAGCTCCCAAAATGTGGAATTAGCTGAAAAAGCCAAATTTAGCATGAAAACAGCTACCGTATTTTCCGGCGTATAACTCTCAGATTTTTGCATAATTTGCATATTTATATACCGAAGCAAAGTATTTGTTTGTTTCCAATATTTATAAAACTTTTTTTTGGCTGAGATCTGACGATTTCATTCATTCTGACATGGAAAATATTGAACACTACCATTTTCAGCCACTAGAGGGCCCTCGGCTAATAGGGCAAGCCAAGTGTCTCATTAATAGGTAAACGTGGCTTTTAACGAGACACTTGGCTTGCCATACAAAACCACCTTCGTCTCGCTCCGGAACTCCTGGAGCAAACGTCAAATCAGCTGCGTTTCATCGCGCCGCCCAGGCGAAATGCAGCTGATTTGACCGTTAAAGTGCTTTTATTAAGGAAAAGTTCAACCGAGACACACCTTTGCTATAATTTCGAGCAAATAATTGTTTTTAAGTGTTAATATTGTTAAAGTTCTTCTGTGCACGCTTCCGCGGCCGCCATTTGGCAGCCAATCGATTTATTGCCCAACACTTGCCGACGTTTCCGGGTGGTCAGTGGTGACGTGTAATAGATGCGACTCGTACAGCGAAGCAACTTGTTTGCTTCCCCCCCCACTTTATTAGACATATTTGGACTGATGCGACTTATACGGCAGAAAATACGGTAGCTGCTAGGCTAGGCCTGTCACGATAACCAATTTTGCTGGGCGATTAATTTTCTTAGAAATTATTGCGATAAACGATAATATTGTTTGAAATTTGACAATAATTAGTAATTATTGTCAAATTTAAGAAGAAATGTTTTCCATCTGATCTTATTTTGTTTTGCACGTAGTACATTTTTTCAACCACCAGTACAAGACTTTGAACCGAAGGATGGATAGTGAGCGAGCGAGAAGCGTGTCTCTTTAGGTCGTCATCCAGCGTCTTCAGTAGAAACGGAGACACGAAGAAACGATAAAGCTGATAAATGAAAAAGTCGATAATTTTCATTCAGAATGCGATAAATTGATTTATTGTTTAAAAAAAAGGTATTTTATGCTAATTTTAGCCTTTTGTTATTCATTTAAAAATAAAAATGTATACTTTAACACCTTTTTCTGCTCATTTCAGTTTTTTTAAGTATTCTTTTTGCCATTTCCTACTTTTTGTGATTCTTTCATTTTAATCTTTTAAAGCTTTTTTTCAGCTTCTTTCTGCCAATTTCAGCTTTTAAGTTTTTTTGTTTCTAATTTCTGCTTCTTTGTAATCCATTCAGCTTTATTTTTTTATTTTATTTTTTTACAGCTCCGACATTTTTCTGCTGCTTTCATTTTCCTGCGTTCAGCAAACGTCGGCTGTTCAGACTGAGCTCGGCCAGTTTCAGCTTGTTCAGCTGTTTTCAGCCGAAATCATTCGGCAGTTAGGCGTTTTCGCAGGAAGTCGTCGTGCTAAATGTCCAGGTATGATTCTAACTCAGAGAACCTGATGGTGTCAGCCCTACAGACCTCCTGGGTCCAACACAAGAACCGAGTCCAGTTCGCCGAGACTGAAACCTCGGATTAAAAAAACGAGCTCCCGTCTACGCGTGACCGAGGCGGCTGGAGTTTTACGGCTGTGGGAGCGTCTGCTGCAATGATTAACCCACACAAACATTCTGAAGAACCGATCCCCTCGGAGCCCGCCAGAGTCCCGCTGATGATCCGACACCCTCGTGACCTTTGCCCCCTCCTGGATTTATGGGCTGCAGCAGCTGCGTTTACTTATTGTTCTGAGCGAGGTGCTTCGAGTGCAATCCTCTTACACGCCGTTAAAACCACAACCGACGCAGAGACCGTGGCGCCGGAGCAGCGCCTGAAGAGAAATAATTACGACGATTAACAGGCGAGGCCGGGGCAGACGGACCTGCCGGACCCTCTCCAAGGAGATCGGAACGGGTCGGAGCTGCCGTTTGAGAATAAATTAAGATTTCGAGCATCGTCCGGTCCTTAATGCGACAAGACGTTAAAGGAGAAAGCAGGGATGCTCAAGTCTGTCAGTAAAATATCTCGACCCACTGGATGAATTTTAATTAAATATGCACCTCTGGACGTTTATCCTCAACCAATAAACTTTTAGAGACAAAAATCAAAATGACCGTTACAACCAAAGTAGCTGAAAGTAGAAAAAAAAGCAGCAATCATAGAAAAATGCTGATTAGGACAAAAAAAAAAGGCTGAAATAAATGTAAAAATGTTAGCTGATAAAAGCTAAAAGGACAATAGAATCTTAATAGTGCACTAAACAGATAAAATGAGCTACAAGTAGCTGAAATAAAACCCACAACAAGCTAAAATTAGCAGAAATATGCTAAATGAGCCTTAAAAGCTGAAGAGTGCGTAAATAAATTAGTGGAATAGCTGAAATAAAGCAAGAAAAAGCCAAATTTAGTGGAAAGAAGCTTAAAAACCTGAAAAGAGAAAACAAAGGTTAAAAAAAGGCTGAAATGAGCAGAAAGAAGCTAAAGGCAGCTGGAGGTTTGTAAACTTGTACGAGCTGTAAACAGATCCAAGAGTTTGAAGGATGAGAGCTTCGTTGGTGTTCAACGAGGAAAACATGGCCGAAAGAGCTAAATGTTTCAAAAAGTTACATTTACACAAACAGCAGGAACATCCTGAATGAGCCGAACGTTTTGATTTGGTAAAACAGAACAGAACTTATGGATAAGCCTGTGTTTTTAGCATTTATAACGCCAGTGGCGATAAACAATAAATCAATTAATCGCGTGATAAATGAAAATTATCGACCTCATTTTCATTTATCGGCTTTATTGTTTCTAAGTGTCTCTCTCTTTCTACTGGACGACAAAAGGCTCAACTTCGGCTCTCTTCACTGACCCCTCCCTTTCTCGTTTCTCTTTAAAATCTATTTTAACCGTCCAAAGTTTTTTCCAGGACATTCTTGTAAAATAGACGGGACGATCTCAATGGATTTCTTCCTGGTAAAATAAAGGCATAAATTCAAAGTTTGTTTTCTCAGTCATCCAGGTATATAACAACAAAAAAGGTTGAATCATGTCATCTGGACTTCGTTTTTTTGTTAAAAAGAAACGTTTCGCCCCTCATCCAAGAGGCTTCGTCGGTCTGAGGCCTAGCCATCTGGTATTACCCAGAAGCCACCCTGACTCTTGTGTTCCAAGCCTGCCTCAGATACCCCTGAAGT